TATATATATATATATATATAAAATTTTATTTAATATTGTCTAGTTACGAAACTTTCAAGTGACTTTTTAGCCTTTTTATTTTGTCCTTTTACATAATCAAGAAGGAATTAATTTTATTTTTTCAAAATTTGCCCTTATTTATATATGCCAATGTGTTAAAGTAACACTGTGCAAATATTAATTAAGGATAATTTAGTAAATATATCTTTTCCTCTCTAGGAGTTCGTATTTTCTTTATGAATGTGCCAAAGGTCAAAAAGCACTTATTATGGAATGGAGGGAGTATCAAATAATTTTCTCAATTTGAGTGTCAAGATTAAATGTAAAATAAAAAGTACGGGAGCAATGTCTTTTAGCTTCGTTTTGATTTGATTAATTTGACGTGTTTTGTTTTTGTTCTGTGTAGTTGAAAAAAGAAACCAAGATGAAAATAAATAATTTTTTATTATTTTAATTTACGCGAACCTATTTGACCAAACACGAAGATATTTGTATGACACTAAGACTTTTGAACCTCGTAACTTTTAGCATATATAATATAACATTTATATAACTATAAAAGTTTGTTATTAAAATAAAATAGCAATTCAAGTCAAATTATTTTCGAATTTGGAAAGATAACATTCATTTTAAACAAACTAATAACAAAGTATTGTCATTCTTTTTGGAATAGTAGGACTTATTAAAAGAAAAGAAGTGAAATGAAAGATGAATCACCTAATAACAAAGTATTGTCGACCACTACTTCTATGCACCACTATTCAGAATAGTGAAGCTTTCGATCAAGATCTTCTCGCCTCACTCGTTTAGGCTCTCGCTCCAGTAGGTAATCACTCCCTTCTCAGAGAACTATACGTACGTGAGACTTCCACCTCATATGGCTCCGTCCACTTTCTTCACATATCACGTTGTCACTAATTGTAGTTTTCTTGAAAGCAAATACCCTCATGAGAAATGCCCATGCTTTGTTCTTCCTCCTCTTATTATGGCTTCTAGGGTTTGAGTACTCTTCATCAACAAGTCTCATAGAT